TAGATCTCGATAGCCGGGCACCATCAGCCTTCTTTGGGGTGTGGTCTTCTTATAAGGAGGACCCTGGGAACTACTCTCTCTTTTCTGCCATGCCTTCCTGCCTGCTGTCATTCCACTCACCTAGGATCCACATGATCTTCCTGCACTCTGCATCATGGCATGTAACTGCCCGAGTCTGAAGAGGGACTTATCAATTAGTACCAGACTTGAGTTGGACTGGGCTGGGATGCTTTCTTGACATGTAATTACTTCGGCTATAAAGCTCTTTCTTACACATATATGAGTGTCACTGGATTTGTTTCTCCAGTCAACCTGGCCTAACACTCAATTCAGACAATTTCTTTTCAAATATTTCTCCTGCCACATAATAGTTCTTCTAACCACCAGGGATTTCTATTTCATATACGCCCAATTGTTTTTTATTGTCTCAGCTGTATACAATGCCATTGATAGTTTTAGTTTGTATTCCACCCACTTCCTGGATATTTTCCCTTGGTCTTTAAGTTCACAGATGGCTTCTTCTGCTAATATGGTCGTACAATAAATTCTTCATGTCAGATATTATGGTTTTTCATTTCTGAATTCCCACTTGGCCATTTTTCAGAGCTTTAAGTTCTCTCTTGAAATCTGCCATCTGTTTGCCCATTTTGTCCTCTAATTTCTATGGTTCTTGTATATTGATCCTTGTCTGCTTAGTCCATTGAGGTCCAACCTGTAGATCTCTTTCCCTTGCTTTTTTGCTTGCTTTACACCTTTGTATTATGCGTTGGGTATTTTAAGCATAAAAAATCAGTAGAAACTATACCATAAAATATTTTTAAAAATTGTGTCTTTCCTAAAGAGATGTATCTCCCCCCTCTAGTTGGTGACCGTCTAATCCTTTGGATCTCACACAAAATTTTGAGAGAGATGAAATCTGTAAGGATCTTACAGATCTGTAAAAACAATAGTATCACCCCAACAAAGACACTACCGAGGACCATCAGGGACACGGATCTTAGAACCCTGTAGCCCATCACTGTCAGAGTACCACACCCTGGATCCCTTTCTTGCTTTACTGTTAATTTTAGACCTGTCACTCCTTGTGCAGTGGGAGGCAGAGCACTGTGCCACTTGTTGCTAGTGATTATTGAGTCGATTCATACAGTACGTAGAGTACAGCTGGGCTTTGCAGGATCTTCAATAGAGGATTTGGTGATGGGGGATACATGGCTAGGAATTTCTTCTGATGTGCCGTTGAGTGGACTCAAAGCACCAACCTTTCTCTTATAGTGAGGATTTAATCATTTGTACTAGCTGGGATCCATTGTTGTTTGGGTGTGGCATGCTTGTAGTTAAAAAAATTCCTTTTGTTTAAAACCATAATGAAAAGTCCTCCTCTTGTTAAGTGATTGGAATCACTAATGTTGTTTTTACTTTTTCTTCTTCTTCTTCTTCTTCTTCAACAAAATTGTAAAAGAAAACAAAAACTAGTCTAGGAGGCCCGGAATGACCAGGCCAGAAAATAAATCTTGGACCAGGTGGACTACAAATGAGTACCTTTGAGACAGGTTTCAGATGGCAGGGAAAGTCCCTGGGACAGCCCAACACCCCCCTCTGAGGTCATCTCTTTGGCCTGAAGCCAGCTCTGACAAGGACCTTGACCAAAGCCATACGTACTTCGCGGTTCCTCAGGCTGTAGATGAGAGGGTTGAGCGTGGGGGTGACGAGACTGTAGAAAAGGGAGACCACGTTGTCCTGCTGTGGACTGTGGTAGGTGCCTGGTACCATGTACATGAACACGGCAGCCCCATAGAAGAGCCCCACCACGGTGATGTGCGAAGAACAGGTGGTGAAAGCCTTGTGTCTGGCCTCTGCCGAGCGCATGCGGATGATGGCCCCCAGCACGTGACCGTAGGAAGTGCCTATGAGCGACATGGGCAGCAGCAAGATCAGCACTCCCGAGATGGACAGCGCCAACTCATAGGTAGAAGTGTCTTCGCAGGAGAGCTTCAGCAGGGCAGGCAGCTCACAGAAGAAGTGATCTACGGTGCGGGAGGCACAGAAGGGAAAGTGCAAGGTGATGGAGGTCTGGATGGTGGCGACAAGCACCCCTGACAGCCAGGAAGTGCACACCATGAGCAAGCACACCTGGCGTCTCATGAGCACAGGGTAATGCAGGGGGTGGCACACGGCCACGTAGCGGTCATAGGACATGAGGGACAGCAGGACACCCTCAGAGACTCCCGTCAGCATCAAGAAGAACATCTGAGCGCCACAACCCCCAAAAGAGATGGATCCACCTCCCTGCAGAAAGTCGGCTGCCATCTTGGGGATGGTGACCAGGGGGAAACCAACATCCAACAGGGAGAGCTGGCTGAGCAGGAAGTACATGGGTGTGTGGAGTCGGGAGTCCATGTGGATCAGGAAGATCAGGATGCTGTTACCCAGCAGGCCCATGGTGAACATGATGGCCACAAGGGAGAAGAGGAACAAGTGTGACCCCGAGTGGCTGAAAAGCCCGACAAGTGTGAAGTCCAAGGTTACTGACTGATTGATTGTCCCCATTCTCCAGGAGGTATTATTCATCTGCAGGAAGAACAGAACTTTGGGTGAGATGCTTCATTGCGGATGATAAATGGGTTTCATCTGATATACTGTTATGGATGGGACCGTGTCCCTTCCCCACCCCAAATTGTTGCAAATATTAATTCCAATAGCCATCATTAGATCCCATTTGGGAATAGGATTTTCTTGGTTATGTTAATGAGACCACATCGGTGTAGGGTGTATCACAAACCAATCACCCTTGAGACCTAGAAAGAGCAGATCAGGCACAGCTTCCACACTCACTGCCATTGACTCCATGCGGACTCACAGCGACCCTATAAGACAGGGCAGACCAGCCCACATGGGTTTACAAGGCTGCAAATCTGCATGGGAGCAGAAAGCCCCATCTTTCTCCTGGAACATGGCTGGTAAGCTGAAATGCAGACTGACCTCGTGGTCAGCAGCCCAACATAATCCACCACACCATCAGGGTTCCTTAGGCACAGGTGCAAGGGATCACAAATGGAGAAAGATAGAGGCACCATGGGGATGGCCAAGGAACTGAGGGATCACCAGTGTACAGAGGCAACAGTGTCCCCTCAGAGGGAGCAGAGAAAGCCATGCAGAGTTTCTTAGATGGTGGTTTGAGACCCCACATGGAGTTGTGTAGTCACTGTAACCCTGACAGTCAGGACCTTTGTCCCAAACTATATCTTTCACTTAGTGATCTTCATTTCCACCTGCGTTTCCCATCATCCGTTGCTATCAAGGCAATTCTCACACATCAAGAGGGATTATGAAATTTTCCCCACTTATGACCCCCTTTTGCCCAAGAACTTTTTATTTGACCTCAGGAATAGAAGTATATGAAAGAAGTATACAAATCGAACATGGCTTTTAATGAAGTTCGTACTTTTGATAGAATTACAAAGCACAAGCCCTAACTGTTGATTTTTATTTTGGCTACAAGGGCATGTTGTGTGCACAGAACCAAGGCTGCAGTGAAATCCTGCCATGTAACACAGACAAGCCCTGCCAGAAACACCTCGGACTTGTCACATGTCTGATTTTGAATTACTTTTGGTTGTTACTCAACTGCCATCGAATAGCTGTCAACTCACAGTGACCCTATAGGAGAGGGCAGAACTGCCTCTGTGAGCTTACTTCTTCACGGGAGTAAAAGTCTCCTCTTTCTCCTGTGGACCAAGTGGTGGCTTCAAACTGCTAACCTTGCAGTTTACAGCCCCATACGTAACCACTACTTGGTTGAGAAACATTGTACTGCTGCCAAATGTTTCACCACATCCACATTGAGTTACACAACCACATATGGGGTCATGAACCACAGTTTAAGAAGTTCTGTGAGCCAGCTCCCTGAATTCAGTCTTCTAGGTTCCTAAACTGTGAGAAAATCATTTTCTGTTTACTAAAGATGCCTGCTTGTGGTATTTTCATTATAGCAGCGTGAGGGAATTAAGGCACATACCAACTGCAATGAGTTGTTCATGGTTCCCTGGAGTTTTGAGCTGGATGATGAGCCCACCCATGCTCAATCTGGAAAAAAAAAATCTATGATCGATTTATCATGTCTGCTCTGGTCAGAAGGTTGGGGGTAGTACCACGAGGCCCTGTTTTTATAATTCCTGAGTTAAGGACTTGCCTTCATCCTCCAGGCAGGCACTACCAAGCAACATCCAGATGCTCTGGGGTGGGAGGCCCCGGAAATTGCCAAGAGACTGGGATCTGAAGATGGGAGACTTTGCCCAACATGACAGGATGGTGGGGTTGGATCAAAAATCAAGTCCTAAACCACAAGGACAAGCCTGTTTCTAAGTTCTGATATAAGAGCAGGGAAAGAACAAAGTCTCTGATGACATTTAGGATTTGACCAAAGCTATCTATGCTATGATGGCAGAGTTGGAAACCAATGGTCTGGGGATGTGGGTGACAAGTTGTTATGAAGATCAGCTACCTGTTTGAGGCTTGACTTCATAGGATGTGAGTGGAGCATCTTACGCTTAGCGTGCACTAGGTAGGCAATGAAAAGACGAACTGAGGATCAGGAGGAATTGCCCCACTAAACTAAGACTGTTGAACCTTCTGGATGTCAACCCCACTCTTCCAGATAAACTCATATCGTCAGATTTCAGCCTCAAAATATTGTTCTCTACACATTGTCTACAGCATTGAGAACATCCTGACCAAAGAGGCATCCATCACCATCCGCTAGGAGTTAGAAGAGGTATATGTCTAAAGGAGAGGGCTGCCTGGGGACCAGGAACAGCCAGTGGAGGTGTCTATGGAAGACATTCTGGTGTCCAAACTATCGATGATGCTTACTTTGGGTATCTTTCATCTATTGCAGCAATTGCTTTAATCCATCTCACCCAGGCTTTTCCGTGCCCTTGCTGGTCATTTTCTTTACTTCTAATCCTGAACCTTGGTCAAGCTTTTACCCTGATCTAATATCCAACTGCTTTTCTCTGTCTCAATCTCTTTTCTCTCTCACTTTAATGCTACACTAAAGTTGGCATTTAATGCTTCACATTCTTGACCACCACCCATCTGTCAATTCATTGTACTGTGGTAGCTTGCCTGTTGTTGTGATGCTGGGAGATATGTCACAGATGATTCAACTAGCAGCAGGGTCCTCCATGGTGGGGAGCTTTCAGAAGAGCTTCCAGACTAAGGCTGACTAGCAAGAAAGGTTTGGTGATGTCCTGAAGGCGAGGCAATGAAAACCTTACAGACCACAACAGGGCATTGCGTGACTTGCTTGCCTCAGCCATGTTGTTAGAAGGGGTCAGTCTCAAGAGGAGGACATCATGATCACTAAAGTAGAGGATCAGGGAACAAGAATAAGACTCGCAATGAGATGACCTGACACAGCGGCTGCAACAATAGGCTCAAAAATAGCAGGGATTGTGCAGATGGTACAGGTCTAGGTACTATTTTGTTCTGTTGTCCAGCGGGTTGATGAGAGTTGGAGTTGACTGGATAGTAAGGCTTTTTGGTTGCTTGTTTGTTTTTCTCTATACCAGCACCATTCTAAAGTCAGGGAAGAGCTGATGGGTTTCAGTTGAATGGCTTCTCAGACTCAGCATGAATTATATTTTGGGCTAGATAATGCAAAGTATTTTACTGGCTTTCTACCCAACCCCCCTTACTCAATCTTTACCAGTAGATACTGTTATGGAGTCCTGGGTGGTGCTTAGCTACTAGCTGAAAGGTCAGCAGTTTGAACTCACCCAACAAGACCATTGGAAGAAAGGTCTGGCATTCTACTTCATAAAGATTACAGCCAAGATTACCCCCATAGAGCTCAGTACCAACCTTGACACATGTGGTCATTAAGAGTTAGGATGAATTCAATGGTAACTAATGGCAACAGATGTTATTATGATTTATAATGTGAGGGAACAGAGACCCAAAGCCATGCAGTAACCAATCCAACATCACACAGCAGATGTTGTAGAACCCATACTTAAGCAACACCTGATGTCATTCAGCGATACTTCCCTTCTGTATCACACATTTCCCATTGTTATTGACCCTACGCAGAGCAGGTGCCTGGTCCTACACCGCCCTCACAAGAGATATGTTTGGGTGCATTGTTGCAGCCACTGTGTCAATCGCTCTTGTGAGGACTTTCTTCTACACTGCCCTTCTATTTACTGAGCATGATGTCCTTTTCCCATGGACTGGTCTCTCCTAATCACATGTCCAAAGTACCGAAGACAAAGTCTCACCATCTTTGCTTCAAAGGGGCATTCTGGTTGTACTTCTTCTGAGATACATTTGTTTGTTCTTCTAGCAGTCCACGATACTTTCAATATTTGTTGCCAGCACCGTACTTCAAATGCATCGATTCTCTTCTGGTCTTCTTTATTCATTGTTTAGCTTTCACATGCAGGTGAGGTGATTGAAAACACCATGGCGTGGGTCTGGCACACCTTAGTCTTCAAAGTGACCTCCTTGCTCTTCAACACTTTGAAGAGGTCTTATGCAGAAGATTTGCCCAATACCATGCGTCATTTGATCTCTTGACTGCTGCTTTTATGAACTATTGGTTGTGGATCCAAGCAGGAGGAAATACTTGACAACTTCAATCTTCCTTCGTTTATCATGATGCTGTTGAGCTGCAATCCATACCGAAGGCTGCAGTCCTTGATCTCCATCAGCAAATGCTTCAAATCCTCTTTGCTTTCAGCAATCAAGGTCGTGTCAGAAGCATATTACAACTTGTTAATGAGCCTTCCTCCAACCCTGATGCTCCCTTCTTCTTATAGTCCAGCTTCTGCGTTAACTTCCTCAGCATACATGTTGAGGAGGTATAGTGAAAGGATACAGTTTTGACTCTTCTGATTTTACACCATATAGTATTCCTTTGTCGAGTTGAAAGACTACCTCTTGGTCCAGGTCTAGGTTCCGCATGAACACAATGAAGTGTCCTGAAACTCCCAATCTTTGTAATGTCATGAATAGTTTGTCATTATCTACACAGTTGAAAGTCTTTGCATAGTCAGTAAAACATAAGTAAACATCTTTCTGGTATTCTCAACTCTCAACCAAGAGTCATCTAACATCAGCAAGGATACCCTTCATGCCTTGTCTTTTTAAAATCCACCTTGAATCTCTGGCAACTTCATGTAGAGGGACTCTTGCCACCTTTGTTGAATGCTCTTCAGCAAAATTTTACTTGTATGTGCTACTAATGATATTGTTCAATAATTTCCACATTGTGTCCAGTCACCTTTCTCATTACTAGCACTGTAATCAATCGTTTAGGATCTGCTTCCCCAAGTAATACTCAACTTCCTGTCTCAACCACATTATGCTTGTCTCTACTCTTTGATTATTCGCTTTCTGCCTGGCCTGATGCAGAAATCACACTCACCAGCCCACAGGGTCCTTGGTTCCATTCACCAAAGCATTATCTAAGAATGACCCCAAATCTACCAATCAACCAACCAATCAAAACCATACCTAGTGCCATCAAGTTGATTCTAACTCAGAGCACCCTCATGTATTACAGAGTGGAACTGAACTCCACTGGGTTTTCTGGACTGTAATCTTTATGAAATAGATCTCCAAGCCTTTCCTCCAAT